CACTCACACGAGGAACCCGACTACTTATAATGATAAACTGATGACGTTGGTCGGTTGAGCTCAGAAAGTCGCCTTAGAACCGCCTCGTGCATCACCCAGAGCAGACGCAGTGCACACATCAAATTTAGATGGTCGACTTCTTCCTGCTTGAGTGTAGTTCACACAGTGACGGTATAGAAAATGGAAAGCGACAATTATGATGCCGACCTGACCGAGCACTGTAAGGAACTGTACTGACCAAACACCCAGTGCGAGTGTCTGCTGAAAGACAGAGTAACTCCAGGCCAGCAGGACAATGCGTAGCGAGCCGTATAGGATGATAACAACGCCGTAGACTCGCCTCGTACGGTAACGATAGTAAATTAATAAGAATAGATAACCCAACTCAGTGATGATGCTGTCAATAACTATAATAAGTCCTCCTGAGTCGTAGAGGAACGATGCTGTTATACCTGACGCTAGAATCAACAGAGTGAAGTAAAATTCACAAGTGATTCTACCAAAACAATTCCAACTTTCATAAGTTCACGTGAACGTAAGATAGCAAACTAATACTGTTGCACCTTACTCAATAAAGTGACTGTATGGTGCGGGAGGACGACCGGTCGCCACACCATGCCATGGTATAGGTCGTAAAGTAGATGCCCGTAGTTGTGGGCCAGAAGGAATACGACCAACGGCAACGACTCGTTCGAACTGAAGGATAGGATGTAGCAAAGTTACGGTATGGTTAAAACATTTACTTGAATGCTCCGGTGAACACCGCCTCTCTGTTGATGAAGACACATACGACGCCCATAATAACAGCGACTAGAGCGGTTACTAGGCAGGTCACGTTGTAGACCTGCTTCGTATCTTTCTTCCATGCGTGAATACCAACATACACAGCAAACGACGCTATAGTGTATGATGCTACCTCACGAACAGCCATAATCTGGAGATATAAAAAACCAAAAGATCCTATAAGTTGGAATAACATACAAAATAGTAGTCCACTAAATGCTGGTCATACCACAGAGCAACACAATAATAATAATATGATGATGATGATGAACATCACCTTCCTACTTATCGAACTCTCTACCGTGTAACACACTGTCTTATACCAGTTCACACCAGGGCTCAGGCAGCAGTGACTGGGCCTGCAGCTATACCCCTATACTGGCTACTACTCGCCTGGTCGAAAGGAGTGCTACAGAAGAAGACGATAATGAACGTAGTAGTAGTATCAACGCGAATTACCAATGGCACGATGCTAGAGCTAGATAGGGATAGTAGAGAGAGTGTAAGAACCTCAAGGCCTCGTAGTGGTTACATCCAGTCTTGTGTGCTCTGTGAGTTCTCTTCACATTAGCTCTTTATCACCGTCAGCTCTTCATATACTATCACCATGATGATCACATTGTAAATGCCTCTATATGCATACCAATTCCTCTAGCCATAAATAGCTAACAATAGCTAGCTATAATAAATCTGCCCATAGAAACGACAAAATAGCTTGTCTATATGCACAGCTTTCCTGCACGCCACCGTGAATTCCAAAAGTGAACACCGACCGAAGCACCTCGAGTCTGACTAACGACTATTTTCAATACTCATAACGTCTCATGATTCGATAGATTCCGGGGGGAGAGGGATTCATTCGATCTTCTTGATGAA